TCCCACTCCCCCTGCTTGTGTTCCCTCTCTGGCTGTCTTTCTCTCTGTCAAATAAATAAAACCTTTAAAAAAAAAATGTGGAGCCTCGGGGCGCCTGGGTGGCTCAAAGCATCTGCCTTTGGCTCAGGTCACGTGGCTCAGTTGTTAAGCGACTGCCTTCGGCTCAGGTCGTGATCCCAGGGTCCTGAAATCGAGCCCTGCGTCAGGCTCCCTGCTCAGTGGGAGGCCTGCTTCTCCCTCTCCCACTCCCCCTGCTTGTGTTCCTGCTCTGTCTCTCTCTCTCTGTCAAATAAATAAATAAAATCTTTAAAAAAATGTGGAATCTCTTGTTCAAAAATTATTAAGAATTTCAATATGGTAACAGCACAACATTAACTCCAAGCATGGGACCCTTCTAAGAGCAGGGTTCTGAGTGCTCAGGTCACCTGCTCTGTATACACTTTTGCCCCCAACTGACCATATTTAGAACTGAAATTTCTCTAAAGGGAGTTCCTTTTTGCTTAAACTAGAAGGATATGAATAATTTAAAATTCATAATGTTTTGAAGATCTTGTTCAATGGACCTATGAGACAATCAAGAAGAAAATTAAGCCTATAAGAATGTGGACTTTGCAGGTGCACCTGGCTGGCTCAGTCAGAGAAGCGTGCAACTCTTGATCTCAAGGTCATGAGTTCGAGCCCCATGTTGGGTGTAGAAACTACTTAAAAAAATAAAATCTTTAAAAAAAAAAAAAGAATGTGGACTTGGCAGTCAATTCAAGGCCTGTTTTCATGGCTGCCTGGTGGGTTTATTGGTTGGCTTTAGGGATCCACAAACTCCCTCTAATTATAATCAAAATTGAGCGTGTACATGTGTGTGTATGTGTGTGTGTTTACATGTGCATTTTTTAGAGGAGAGCTTTCATCCAATTCTCAAAGGGATCAACAACCCTAAAAGACTTACAAACCACTGTTCTACGAAATTATTTCTCTCTTTTTTTTTTTTTAAAGATTTTATTTATTTATTTGACAGAGAAAGACACAGTGAGAGAGGGAACATAAGCAGGGGGAGTGGGAGAGGGAGAAGCAGACTCCCTGCCAAGCAGGGAGCCCGATGCGGGACTCGATCCAGGGACTCCAGGATCATGACCTGAGCCGAAGGCAGTCGCTTAACCAACTGAGCCACCCAGGCGCCCCGAAATTATTTCTCTTCATTTTGATGTTATCTCTATGGCTAAACATGTTTTGCTTAAAGAAACCTCTGCTGGTAACTGGTTAAAAAAAAAAAAAACTTTAAACAAAAGGGTTGGTGCAGATTTTTAAAACTATGTTTATTTTAAAATATAGAAAAAATATAAAAAGAGAAATATAAGGAATAAACAAGTACATCAGGATCCCAGTCAGAGAAATGAAATCTGCAAGGATCTACATTAAACCCTTATATCTTAGCTACTATCATCAGAAAACTTGAAAGATAGTAAAATTGATCTTTAATTACAATATTTATTATGTAATGGTATGTAATACTTACTGAACACTTACCATGTCTTAGGCACTGTTCCAATTATTAACTCACTCCATCCTCTTACCAACTTTATACTTCCCATTGTAGAAATGAGGAATCAAGCAAACAGAGGTTAAGAAATGACACACAATGGATGGTAGAGACAGGTCTTGAATTGGCCACAAAGTCAATATTCTTTTTAAGCTTCATTTTTTTCTTCATTATTTAGTAGGCCCACTTAGCAAGATATCAATACTTCATAGAACTTTCAATTAGGAGGTATCAAGATTAAAGAATTAGAGCACTGAAAATGTACCCTTCCAGAAAACTTTTTTCACTCAGCTTCCAGGACACGACTCCTCAGTGGGTCTCCTCTTGTCTCTGCCTGGCCACTCCTTCTTCAGTATTTGTGTGGGATTTTCCCCTTCTCCCTATCAGGCCTTGAACCTCTTCTCTCCATCTATACACCCTCCTTAGGCAAAACTAATCCGGTCCCATGACTTTAAATGCTGTCCATATGTTGATGACTTTCAAATTTGTATTTCCAGGTTGGGACACTCCCTTGAACTCTAGATTCATATATTCAGCGGCCTTCTCAACCTCTCCACTTGGAGTCTAATCAACATCTCAAACTTAGCCTGGCCAGAACAAACTGCGGATTCCTTCCTTCAAGACTCTCAGTCTCCTTAATTCGATAAATGGCAACCCCATTCTTCAGTTAGAACAAAAAAGCTTGGCGCCATCTGTGTCTCTTCTGCCTCCCTCACACCCCATATCAAATCTATTGGCAAATGAGGTCAATTTAACCTTCAGAATATGTCCAGATGAACAGAAAGCAAAATCCATGTACTTTCTTAACCCAGACCACCATTATCTCTGTTATCTGGATTATGGCAAAGTCTCTGTGATGGGCATGAGAATATGCCTCTCAGAGCTCCCAGTGTGGAAGGATAATTGACTGGTGGTCCCATCCATCACTGAGTTCACATGGAGGCCACACGTCCCACGGACTGCTTCCAGCTTCTGGCTGATTAGGAATACTGGGACAGGTCCATTCCTGGGAGACGAGTGCTTTGCTGGTGGGTGACTTTGGCTCAAGGACTCTCTGTTGGCCTTAAGACATTTCATAGAATTGCACTGTAGTTTCAGGCTGCTCCATCTGACCTTCCTGCCCCCCATTCTGTCCCTTATCTGGGTCAGACCTACATTGCAGTCTGAGGGCTCTTAACATCTATTCTGGCCCCTTTCCATGTGCCCTCTCAGGTGTTCCTCTTAATGAATCTCTCACACATCTAATCCCAACATGGCTTCTCAGAGGACTCAGACTAGCACAGTCTGTTCATTGGTCTTCCTGCTTCCACAATTACACTCCTACAGTCTCTATACAGCAGCCAGAAGGGATCAGGTGAAAACCAAACTCTTTACCTCTGGCTCTGGGTTCTACACGATCTGGCCCTTGCTCTACCCATAGATCTCGTCTCCCTTCTGCTGACTCTGCTTCGACCTCACAAATCTCCTGGCTATTCTTAACCCTTTAGGTATGGTTTGTTTGCCCTTGCACTTGTCTTTCCATCTGGAATGTTTGTGCCCCAGACATGTACATATCTTGATCCTTCTCCTCATTCAGGTCTGTCACTCTCTATCCTCTTATCCTGCTTTATTTTTTCTTCATGGCGTTTACTCACCATTTGACATATTAGGTATCTATTTTGTTCATTTGCTTGTTGACTCCTTCTCCCCACTACAACACAAGTGCCATGAAAACAAAGACTTTGTGGGGCGCCTGGGTGGCTCAGTCGGTTAAGCGACTGCCTTTGGCTCAGGTCATGATCCTGGAGTCCCGGGATCGAGTCCCGCATCGGGCTCCCTGCTCGGTAGGGAGTCTGCTTCTCCTTCTGACCCTCCCCCCTCTCATGTGCTCTCTCTCATTCTCTCTCTCAAATAAATAAATAAAGTCTTTAAAAAAACAAACAAACAAAGACTTTGTATTCACTCCCATATCCCCAACACAGATAAAAGTGTCTGGCACATAAGTACTTAATACATTTTGTTGAATGAATAATGATTTTTTTTAGAAGGCAGGCAGGGGCAGAGGGAGAGGGAGAGAGAGAATCTTAAGCACACTCCATGCCCAGTGTGGAGCCTGACATGTGGCTCGATCTCACAACCCTAAGATCATGACCTGAACTGAAATCAAGAGTCAGAAGCTTAACTGACTCAGCCACCCAGCTGCCCTTGAATAATAAATTCTTACTAAAAATCACGTATAGGGTCATAAAAGTCAAAGGAATTTACAAAGCTTAAGTTTGATTAGGAACATCGGAATTTTCTGAAGAATGAAAACACAACTAGAAAAATTAGTACCATAAGTAATTAAGGACATACATTTTTGTTTTCTTTTTTTGCTGATTATTAAAAAAACGCAAATTTTTTTAAAAAACAAAACTCACATTTATCACTAATCTATTTAACATAAAATATGAAGTAGTATTTTATTGCAAGTAAGCTCGTCACACTTAATTAGCTGGATTATAACCAGGAAAGTGCTAAAATATCAAGGGAGTAAAAGCTGTCTTTCTATGACTTTTGAGAGAGTAAGTGATACCAAGGAATAGTTAGAAATCTATTTTTTTTTTCAAGCTTAGAGAGAAAAATATATAGGAAAAATTCAAGAATCTCCCTAATGCTGGGAATATATGACAGCAAATTATCTTACTGACTGTAATGGGAAGTAACTGGAAATATATCTGAATTTCTGTGAGATTTAGTGAAATTGGAATCTTGAACACACTTGAGATTAATTAAAAAAAAAAAACCCATGTTGTCATGAAACTCAAACCTACTTTCCTACTTTTCCCCTGTTTTTCTCCTTTTCCTCTGCTTTTCTAGCTGTATTCTTAAAGGAAAAATAAAATCAAAACATTATTTAATCACACTTAGAAAATCTGAGTCCCAAACTGTAAGTCAACAGATCACGCAAAATTTCTCTGACATAATCGTTATGTGCATCCAAATGGCAGACTCCATGGCATGGAAGCGGAAGCCACAAAGTGCCTTTTTTGCAATCTGCCCTTCTCTGAATATTACATTTAGAGACGACAGACAGAAATGCAGACGTAGATCCTGCCATTGATTCACTGTAGGGAAGGTCAGAATTCTTGAAGTATTTAAATGATAGAACTACTATCAGGACTCTATGCCATCTTTGTCAAGTGATTAAAAGAAGCCAAGTAGAAATTTCAGTTCTGGTCTTACCACTCAGCTATTGCACACACTTGAATTAGTCCTCTCAATCCTTCCAGAAATAATGGCAAAAAGATGTAAGCATGTTTTAGAAATGCTTATGTATTATTATGGGGACAAAGAAAATTTTTACCTTACTGAATTTTATTCTGCATTCCATGAGGAAGCATGATCCAGTTTTCTTTCTTTTCCTTCCTTCCTTCCTTTCTTTCTTCCTTCCTCCCTCCCTCCCTCCCTCCCTCCCTCCCTCCCTCCCTCTCTCTCTCTCTCTCTCTCTCTCTTTCTTTCTTTCTTTCATTGATGAAAAAGCAAAACTGTGATCCACTGAACCTTTTTTAGGTAGTGCATGTGTTCAGTACAAAAGAAGTCCAAGATATATCAGAATACAGCATATCTAACAGAATATTGAGTTGAGAGCCTGCAGCCCTCTGTTCTCATTTTAAGTTGGACACTAGCTTTCTGACTATTAGTAAGTTTCAAAAAGTCTCAGAATTATTGATCTATTGTTAACAAATTATCTCCCAGGTTCTGGGAGTGGGTTCAGGGGTGGCTTAACTGCTTCTGGCTCAGGGATCCACATGAGCTTGCAACCAAGATGGCAGCTAGAGCTGCAGTCATCTGACAACTCACCTGGAGCTAGAGGCTCTGCTTCTAGGCTTGCTCGCATGTCCAATGGCAAGAGGCTCCAGTTCCTCTCCACGTGGGCTCCTCCATGGGCTTGCTCATGAGATGGCAGCTGACTTCCTCCAAAGTGAGTGATCCAAGAGTGAGAGAGTAACAAGGCAGGTGCTGTGATATCCTTTGTCACCTAAACTCAGAAACAATTACCATCAATTCTGCTGTATTCTACCGCTCACATAAGCTGACCTTGATGCACTATGGGAGAGGGAACGACACAAGGGTGTAAATAGCAGAAGATGGGAATCACTGGGGAACATCTTGAAGGCTGCCTTCCACACTCTCTGACCTCATTTTCCTCATCTATAGAATGAGGTCTTTTAACTAGATGACCTTTAAGGCTGGGACCTCCTCTCTCCCCAGTGCCACTTCCAGACCTTGATTTTCACTCTCACGTAGAAAATCCTGTTCCTATCACTCAGCCATCAAAAAGAATGAAATTTTGCCATTTGCAATGATGTGAATGGAACTAGAGGGTATTATGCTGAGCTAAGTCAGTCAGAGAAAGACAAATACCATATGATTTCACTCATCTGTGCGATTTAAGAAACAAAACAGATGAACATAGGGGAAGGGAAGGAAAAATAAAATAAGATGAAAACAGAGAGGGAGGCAAACCATAAGAGACTCTTAACTACAGGAAACAAACTGAAGGTTGCTGGAGGGGAGGTCGGTGGGGGATAGGGTAATTAGGTAATGGGCATTAAGGAGGGCACTTGATGTAATGAGCACTTGGTGTTACATGCAACAGATGAATCACCAAATTCTATCTGTGAAACTAATAATAAAGTAAAATAGAAAGGAAATCCTATTCCTCTTAGCTTTAAGCTGTACCAACCTCCACCCATCCATGTTGCTCTCATTTCTAGACTTCCTGGTCACCATCCTTCATCTATGTAACTTAGCACCTGACCTACAGTTGTCCTTTTCACTCCAAGTCCTGCCATTATTCTAAGACTTCCATGTCCTCATGGGTGACCCATCTGTTACCATGGCCTTCAAATTACTTAACCTCCTCATCTCCAATGCCCTTCCCAGCCATTTCATTTCAGAACCCATTCCATACTAATACCCTGAATTTGTCATCACCAAAACTGTTCAACTTTGTAAACAATAAATGCAATCACCTTACTCTCTCACTATAACTTCCTGTTTTTCTGATTCTCTAATCAATCGTCCCAAGATGGGTCCCCAGACCTGGATGGAACTTTCAGGAAACTGTGATATCTACTTTCTCTGTATCAGATCTCTCTTGTCTTCACTTCATATTGGATTTTAAAGTCCATCACTTGAAGAACCACTCTCTGGAGAGATTCCTCACCTCCTTTGTCTCATGATCTTTCTTTCACATCTGCCTGGGAAAGCCTTAGTCCTGATTGCTTTCAACTGACTATCTTATACCTTCTCTATCACCTACAACCAGGCAACTGAAGGCTGCTGGAGAAAAATCACATGACTGTTGGCTAGATAGATGGTCCTCACATTCACACAGGCTTCCATAGCTGTCCACCAGTTTCATAGTCAAGGTCCCCTAGTCAGCACTCTCTTCCAGTCCCAGAGAGACTGTTTCGAATACTCCCCACCTTCCTCAAAACTCCATATCTGCCCCTGCCACCTCTTCCTTCATCCTCATTTGCTCTTTTACTTTCCAAAGAAAATAAAATCCATTAGCTGAGACTCTTTGTATCCAAACCCGTTCTTTCCTCCTTTCCTCTTACAATGAAAGAAGAGCTTCACTTCTGATCTGGTCTGCCTCTGCCTAAAATTCCATTCCCTCTCACCTCCTCAGAAATGCTGACATTTTTTTTAACCCAGTGCAATCTCACGTCCACCTTCCCATCTTCCCTGAAGTAGTCCCTTGTTTTATTCTGTTGCCTTCTTCTTTTGTCTAAAACTACTGTCCACTATGATACCACTAGCCCCATGTAGCTGTTTTGCACTTGAAATACAGCTAGTCCCAAATGATAAATCCTCACCAGGCTTCAAAAACTTAGTATTTAAAGAAAAAAATGTAAATTATCTCTTTTATCACTTTCCATATTGATTGCATATTGAATGTATAGCTTTCTGGAGGGCAGAACAGGATAGCTAGATTGGCCTCTAATTCCTAAATATTCTATTCTGTGACCTGGCATTATGAAGTTATCTGGTCCACTTTATCTGAATGACATAACACATTTTCCTCTGTATATATACAAAGTTAAATTCCTCACAATGTTGAGCCCATTATAAAAAAATGCTATCTCTATTCATGAAGTAAAAGAAATTAGTTATCTGTTACTTTAATATTAACTGTATTCATAAAGTAGATAACTATGTAATGACTATTTTTTTCCAGGAAAGTTAAATGTGACTATTTTCTCCTTTATCTCCTTTATATAATAATATACTATGATATGCTATATTACATTCAGTGTATATTCTCATACACTATACTATGTGTGGTATTTATATGTAAGATTAATAATGCTGCAGATGCTATTCATACTTGAATATAGGAGTTTTTTGAATTTTAGCCCACTGGAGCCCATTCCAGATCTCTGACCTCAGAACAATAAGATAATAATTTTTTATTGTTTTAAGCTACGAGGTTTGTAGTAAATTGTTAAAGCAGGAATAAGAAACTTATACACTAATTTTAGACAATAAAGTCCTTTTAAAAAAAAATGCTATATTATTACATAGTTTCTGTGGACCAGGAGTTGGCATAGGTTTAGACTGGTCCTCTGCTCAGGGTTTTACACAGAGTGCAATCCAGGCATGCGCCTAGCTATGCTTTCTTGCTGGTTATCGGTCAGGGGCTGCTCTCAGCTGCTAGAGGCCCCCAAAGTTCTTTGCCAGATGACCCTCTCACAAATGGCTATTTGATTCTTCAAGGCTAGCATGAGAATCATTCTGACCTCCAAACGCTGCTTTTATTTTATTTTTTTCATCACAATAAGTCCACTCTTTAATCCCCATCACCTATTTCATCCACCCCCAAACACATATCTCCCCTCTGGTAACCATCAGTTTGTTCTCTATAGTTGTAAGTTTGTTTCTTGGTTTGTCTCTTTTTTTTCCTTTACTCATCTGTTTTGTTTCTTAAATTCCATGTATGAATAGGATCATACGGTATTTGTCTTTCTCTGACTTATTTCGCTTAGCATTATACTCTCTAGCTCTATCTATGTCATTGCAAATTGTAAGATTTCATTCTTTTTTATGGCTGAATAAGATTCCACTGTGTATATATACACCACATCTTCTTTATCTATTCATCTATCAAGGGACACTTGGGCTGCATCCATAGTTTGGCTATTATAAATAATGCTGTTATACATATAGAGGTGCATGTATCCCTTTGAATTAGTGTTTTGTATTTTTTTGGGTAAACACCCAGTAGTTCAATTACTGGGTTAGAGGGTAGTTCTATTTTTAATTTTTTGAGGAAATTCCATACCGTTTTCCACAGTGGCTGCACCAGTTTGCATTCCCACCTACAGTGCAAGAGAGTTCCTTTTTCTCCACATCCCTACCAACACTGGTTGTTTCTTGTGTTTTCGATTTTAGCCATTCTGACAGGTGTGAGGTGATATCTCATTGCAGTTTTAATTTTTTAGTTTCTACATCATTTATTTCTGCCCTAATCTTTATTATTTCCTTCCTTTGCTGGGTTTGGGTTTTGTTTATTCTTCTTTTTCTAGCTCCTTCAGGTGTAAGGTTAGGTTGATTAGTTGAGATTTTTCTTGCTTCTTGAGGTAGACTCTCAAGTCTTTTGACAGTTGTTACCTATCAATGAGTTTGTACATTATGTCTCTTGCTGAGCAGAAATACTTCATTTGATATGGTAAAATCCCTCAACGTTCCTCTTTACGGTTTGCCTTATGGAGTCTTGTTTAAGAAAATCTTCCCATTCTATAGTCTCTTACATTTTCTTCAATTTATTTATACAGATTTACCTTTCATTTTTACATCTGTAAACCATTTGGTATTTGTTTTTATATATATTGTGAAGAGACCTAGCATAAATTTTTTCCTTATAGCAATACAGATATTTTTCAATAGTCTAGACTGTTAAATTGGTTTATTAGTCTCTTCCTACATTATAACTGTGCTATTTTATTGCTTTGGCTTTACAATTGTTCTTTTTTTAATTGAGGTAAAATTCACATACCATAAAATCAAACATTTTAAAGTGAACAATTCAGTGGCATTCAGTACATTCACAGTGTTATGCAACCACCACCCCTATCTAGTTGCATAAGTTTACAGTTGCTTTTAATATTTGGTAGGATATGTTCAACTTTGCCTCAGTTTCCTCATCATTAAACAAAGACAACAATGTAACGTAACTCAGAGTGGTTATTAATATTTTTTTAAAACAGTATATATTAAGTCCTTAGAATAGTGGTTGGTAGGAGCACCTGGGTGGTGCAGTTGGTTAAGCGGCCCGACTGTTGGTTTTGGCTCAAGCCATGATCTCAAGGTCGTGAGATTGAGCCCCACATTGGGCTCCATGCTCGGTGCAGAGTCTGCTTAAGACTCTCTCCCTCTGCCCCTTCCCCCATGTGCTCTCTCTCTCTCTCTCTAAAATAAATAAATAAATCTTTAAAAATAAAAGAATAGTGCTTGGTCTTAGCTAGTATAAATATTATTATATCATAGTATTGCATTATGGTAAACAAACAAACACACACACACAGGCCAGGATGATTGATGTTAACATCTTTGCAGGTACCTCTGCCTCTTCCCAGACTCTGTATCTTGATGAGCACTGGGCTTATTTCTTCAACCTCTTCTCTACCCTATCTACATTCATCCCATTGGTGATTGTAACCAGATTCATGTTCTTAAATTTTCATGTAATCCTTGACCTCCCCACTGAGCTCTACACTGGTATATCCAATTGCCTATTCAGCATCTCCACTTGGATGTCTACTAGACATCTTATAGATTGAAAGCAGAACTCTTGATTCCCCCCTCTGAAAGTTCACTTCTCCCTGAGTATTTTTCATATTTAAAAATGACACCATCATTACAGTCATTCAGGCCAAAACCTTGGTGTCCTCCTTGATCTTGCTCTTCCCTCATTCATATCAAATTTTTCAGCAAATCTTGTCTGCTTTACCTGTGAAATGTATCTAGAGT